AGAGCCTTTGACCAGATGTTTCCCAAGACCTTTGCAGCCTGAGTCACCGGTAACTTGCCGCACCTCTTCTGCTGGCTTCCCGGGTAGAGTGGAGACACAAGTCACATCTCTCCAGGGCTCCCTGCCTCTGTGTGACAGCTCCCTGGGCAGAGTGAGATGGTCCCGGGGCACAGAGAGACACTGTGTCAAGAAGATGTGGGAGGAAAATCTCACTGCCACGTAGGCATGACACGGTGTTCCCCGAGGAGGGGGGGACATCGACTGATCCAGAAGCATTTCTCCTTGCCCACTAGCGTTGGCCAGCCCCTCTCCCTCCTGCTCTGTACAGTTAGAGCAGCTGTTTGCTGAGGAAGCAGAGGGCAGAGTCTGGTGATGTGTGACATGCATGGGGGTGAGCACAGAGGCTTTTTATTAGTGAAATGAGCGTACGTGATGTGGGGTCAGCCCTCGGTGGGGGCCAGTGAAGGAGGCTGGGTGAAGGACAGCTAAGGAGGCAGGCAGGTCCAGGCTGGCAGCAGGCACCCGTGTTGGCATCACACAGCTAAAGAGAGGGCCCGGCATAGGTGCTGGAGAGAAATGGTTTCCAAACAATACAGGCTGCACCGAATGGGGCAAGTCCAACCAAAGGCCATGGGCTGGTTTTCCCAGGGTGCAGACCTCAGCTGCTTTGCACGTAGATACTGCTGAGTCATCCTGCTCCAGGGGCCTCCCGTTTCCAGGAACACATGGTAGGACTTCTAGAAGCCCATAGAAAGAGAACTCTAGCCCCATCCCCCTCAGCACTGAGTCACTGGGCTGACCTCCGGATGGCCCCCCGTGGAGACAGGAGGACCATCTGACAGCCAGGATGGGGCCAACCCTGCCCCGCGCGCTCCTCCCGGGTGGCTGGAGCAGCAGCTGGGCCTGTGATGGGTTAGTGCCCTCTCTGGAAATCAGTCCTAGTTCAGTCCTGCTGAGCCATTAACTCTGAAATGGAGGGTAACTGCCAGTCAGGCTGATGTGGGAGCTGAGGCTAAACTCCAGCCTGCTAAAGGAGTCTCTGCTGTTAGACGTCAGGATAGCAGGGGCCCTTATGGTGTGGAGGTGACTGGAAGAGGGGCACAAGGGGGACTCTGGTCATGTTTAGTTCCTTGATGTGGGTGCTGTGTTCTGCTGGTGAAAATGCAGCAAGCTGACCACTGATGGTACATGCAATTTTCTGTATGTATATTATATGCAATAAAAGAATTTCAAATCTCCAGCTGGCTGGGAGAGTCATCCTTACCCTGACTGATTTTTTAGCTCTCCCACAAAGGAAAAACAACAGTAAAAAAGCCTCACTGTGTCCAAGACAACAGAGCAACCAAAAAGAATGACTTTATCTAGCTAACGACCCAAGGGGAGGGGAGGGTATAGCTCACGTGGTAGAGCACATGCTTAGCACGCATGACATCCTGGGTTTAATCCCCAGTACCTCCTCTAAAAATAAATAAGTAAACCTAATTACTCCCCCCACCGCAAAAGAAACGAACAACCCAAGCACACGTCATGTGAGCAGAGTGGGCACTGGGCCACAGCTTTGTGGATGCCAGACGATGCTCTGATGATCCTTGAGTGTGAGCCAGTTCAGAAATACACAGATACCACTGTCTGCTAGAGACAGAAATAAGACAAACCTTCATGGGAGATGGGAAAAGGGAGCCAAGATTCACTCCTGGAGGATGAGCGAGTCCCACCTGTCCCCAAGTCAGGGCGTCCAGCAGACCAGCCCCTCCATCCTGGAGCGGGGAGCTCTGGCAAGCTGGTAGCTTAGCCTGGGGCGCCCGGTACAGGCTCAGAGGCCCTTCTGCCCAGCTTCTCAGTCATAGCTGGACAGCCCTGGGCTCTGGCCGGACTCCCTGTGACCAGGCATTGCCACCGCATTCCCAGAGCTGCTCTCCTTTCTTCCAAACAATTGATTCTCTGTCTTAAAGAATTTCCTTTGGGAATTAGGAAGGGATCCTTCCTTGGGACAAACCTCATTGGTTCTCCAGGCTCCCGCCTCCACCCGTCTTCTGTCCTGAATCTGCTAGAATATTAAGGTGATATCAGCAAACCATCCCTGGGGGTTGCGACATCCTTCCCAAGCTAGAACTTGACGTGGGATACATGGAAGGAAGCTAGGAGGAAAACCTTTTCATTTTCTATTTCTTCGTAGTAGATTTAGGCACCATGTGCCCTCACACTCAAAGGCAGTATGAAAGGCAGTCTAAGAGCTAAAGGGAGAACTAAAAACAGCAGTTAGGGAGCTCGTGCAATTAAAAGGCTGATTTCATTAAGGGGAGCTCTAGCCTTTACCAAAGGTAGAGGGCTGGCCAACTCAAAACACCCCAGCGACTTCTCCCCCATTCCTGCTGCTATACTAAGGATAAATGAGAGGAGGCACGGAGCATTACGGGGGAGAGAAAGGGGGAGAACCAGAAAGACCAGAACATGTTTTTCATACCAGGGATCTGAATCCACGTCCCTGTGTCTTGGGGACTTCCCCTGAGGCTTAGCAATCCAACCCACTAGGATTTCTGACATCTGCACTGTAGTTCCAGTTACTGCTAATTGAAGTTGTGACATCCAGGGTCTGCCTGGATATGGCGTGGTCCGCACACTCATCTTTCCTGGGTCGCAGAACTGAGGTTTGCGTGTTCTGGAAGATCTTGGTCTGCAGCTGCCAAACTGCCTGCATTTTAGTGTTCACAGCTGGCCTTTCCCAGCTGCGGGGAAAGCCAGAGGAGCTCGGGTGAGTTCCTAAAGGCAGGCAGAGTGTCCCGGTGAGGGGGGCGGGGGGGAGAGCGGGTAGGGGAGTAAGGGGTGGGGGAAACAGAAAACCAGGAGGAAGAAGGAGAAAGTGTACAAAGCCCAGAGCCAGGCAGACCTCCTGGAAGTGTCAGCCAGGCCACCTTCTGGATGTGTGGCCTCAGGAAAGGCACGTAACCTCTCGGAACCTCAGTTTTCCCAGCTACAAAATGGGAGTTGTAATAGCATCTATCTCAGTGGTGCC